TTCGTTGCACGTGGGAACCTAACTGGATGGTGAACAGTATTGAGAAGACAAAACCCAGTACTGCGTGTCCCGACTAAATAGATTTTAACTCTTGTCGAGATTTGTGTGAAGCCGAGGCACTCTAGTTTACCAACGAGTGTAACTGGATACAAAACCAATAACTACCTTTAGCTCTCTACCATTCAACGGCCATATTTTTAGAGTTAAATTCACCGTTCAAGTTGAGAAGTAGAAAAATAAAACACATTTTGTCCATTTAGCTCGCGTACAATAGATGCATCAACATCGCTTAATTTAAAATGGCGATGTTTCATGATGGCGTGAAGAGATGTGGATCAACGTATTGTAAGCGATTTAAACAATACATCAAGTTAGGCTACAACAATTTGATTGTCTGTTTTTCGCGGGCCTTGATAAATAAATAGTCACTTAAATCATGTGAAAGATTCTTTTTTTAATTTTAGAACTTAACAAACTGGAATTAAAAGCTTTTAAACAGCTCAACCAAGTACTTTTGTTTTGTTTTTTTAAATAAGTCTTTTTCCAGAAGAGAGAGAAAGGGAGAAATGGGGTTTAACGTTAACTCGACTCAAACTAGGTCATTTGGGGACTAAAATATGGTTTAATTTTATTTCAATAATTCGCTTGCGCATAGGGGTCTTTAGCAGTGGGAGGAAACCGGAGGACCCGGAGAGAACCCACGAGGTTGGATAGGCGACCCTACTCCTTGTCACGTACAACCGGAGATTCGAAACCACGCCAGTCGACTCAATGACAGACTTTATGATACAGCGCGCGCACGCTAACCATTCAGCCATCCAACCCCCTTTTTCCAGAAGAAATAAGGTGGATTTAATTAACAAGCAGTTTAAAGGTGTTTTGTCGGGTTATTTTATTTCATCAAGGTATGTTTCGAGAATTTAATTCAAATAATTTTGAGGGTTTGTAATAAAATATTTCCAATATTAGAATCCATCTTATCCATATGTTAAAGCATATTATGATTGCTGGATTTTATTAAAGATTATTCCAAGATAGAGAGATAATAAACGCCCACTCAACACAAACTAGGTCATTTTGGGTGTGTGTGTGTGGGGGGGGTGTCTTTAGCAATGGAACCTGGAAATAACAGGCCTTGTAATCTAAAATGTGCTCGTTCGACCGCTGAGCCACCCAACACCTATATGAATTATACTATCAGAAAAATCCATATGTCCGGGATGTCTATCATTGAATGAAGAATTGTGGCGTGGATCCCACTCCATGCCTGTGTGTCGCAACGAGTAGGTTCGCCTAACTAACCTTACGCGTTTTCTCCATTGTGCATAAACGAATTATTGAATAAATTTTTACCATATGTTAGTCTCGACATGACCTAGTTAGTGGCCAGTGTACCCATCCCGAATCTCTTTCTATCTATATGAAAACAGTTTTTGAAAATAAAATGTTCAATTTGAGTTTCTTTTTCTTTTTATAAGTATTGTTAGAAGTCAGTTTGCGTTATATCCAAAATCGGGAGCCACGGTGGTTCAGTGTGTGAGAAGTTGGTTCGCTAACTTGAGGGGCCCGTGGTCGATCCCTGCGTTGGCCGAGAAAGGAGATTTTTCAGCTTGGTTCCCCATAATCAATGGTGTTAGACGTAGGCCCTGGTAAGGGACAACGTATAGTCGTCCGTATACATATTAGCATGCACTTAAAAACAAAACCTTGGCAGTTGGAATTCGAAATAAGAGTAGGCCATAGAGCCGCTGACGGGAAAAAAGTTCCTTCATAGCACACTGCATGGCGTAACCCAGTCTTCAATAGCCCGGACGGAGCAGATCAATAGGACGTCAAACCCCATTTCATTTCATCCCAAATCTCGTTCTTTCTATGCTGGTAGAAAACAGTCTTTAAACAATCTAGAATTTGGGTTTATTTTTATTTCTTCCAAACGTGAAATATTTACTTTATTCAGCAAACCTGTTCGCATTTCTTCTTAACTTGCTCAAGAATCTAAATCGACAGAACAATACAATTTATTTATCCCCGAGAGAGATTCCAATATTGTTCAAAATTTTAAATTGCACGGGTTTTTTTGTACGACCGGGTATTTTATTTAATTGCTGACAAACACCTTCCGTTGCTTTGGGTACAAAGTCAAGATATTGTTTTTCTCGGGGCACCTGCTTCTTGTTAAACAAACGACGGTTAACCATATTCCCTGTGTAATATATACCACTTATACACACCCAGAAAACATGGCCATAATATTACCCGGCTTTTATTCTACGAGCTTGTTAAAAGCTTGATGAGATTGGCTCATAATATGCAAGTCTGATTACTTCAAGAATGCGTTTATCTACCAGGGCATTTCTTTCTCTGGATTATTAAAGGGTACCTGTCACTATCAGAATTTTGTTTCGTTATGGAATTTATTAACTAAACATGGAATATACGGGGCACAGATTTATTGTTTATTTCTAATGATATGACAAATTGAGACAGATGAGGGAATTCTGGATAATCTAGTCGAAACGTCGCTCAGTAATAAACAAAATTGTGGATTTGATCAAGACTAAGGAAGCCTTGTCGAAACGTGGCTCATTAATATAATAAACAGCTATTGAATTCCATACATAGCCTAGTCGAGACGACGTTAAGTAATAAGCGGTAATTTCATTCCTATTTGTTGTAATTTCCAAGCATTATAAATGGGGTTTAACGTCTAAATATTCTGTACTGATTGGGCTATTGCAGACGGGAGTGCGTCATACAGTGTGCTAATGGGGGAAGGTGGGGGCGCTACGGCCTACTTTTATTTCGAGTTCCAACTGCCAATGGTTATTTTACGTACACGGGACAGGGTGTCTCGGTTTTCTTCCCATCCAAACGACTACTCTTACAACATTATAAAGAAAAACAAAACATCCTAACATTGTCTAACCAATGAATGAACATCAGTTGTTTTCTTTTTAAATTCCTGATATAATTGCATTTTGTATTTATCGAATGGATAGTTATTTAACGCACATTCCCATTTTCAATTAATCTAATACATTAGAATTTATTTTAAATCGATATCCAGGTCACTTATAGATCTTTCCTGTTTTACTGATCAAACCATAAACTTTTTTTTAAAACAAAAGCAACTGGTTTCGTTGACTGTCATAAAACAATAATAATGGGTTGCTCGTTTAACCAACAACAAGTAGTACCAGCTTTTCCAATCTACCATTTTGGTCTCATGGACGCCCCAGTGTCCTTTCAACAGTTTATTGATATAAAAAAAATGTCGTTTGTTTTTCGCTAGGTGTAATACTGTATGTTTTATTGATACCAAGATATTATTTAATAACTCATATACTTCCGCCTTCCGGCCGGTCCAGCCTACCCATACCTGTAATAACCTATGCTTGCACTCCTTCAAAAAATCTTAGTCTACATGCCTTTAATAATTCGTGTTTATACCCCTTTAATAATCCATATGCTTCCATCCCTTTAATGACGACTGACTAAATACACTAAAAGTAGTTTTATAGTCAAACGGAAGCCACAAGATTTGTACGCGTTTCAAATTACCGTATAAACGAACCCCGGTAACCTGCTTACAGCGCCCCCACCCATTGTGACAGCAATGTGCACATTGTTGGCTCTAAATGAACAATTATAACAGTCATATTCATAAAAGGTGTCCTTATATACACCATTAGCAATGTTAATCGCTTCCAAATATTTAAAATTTGTATTCTCGAGTAGGCGTCGCGTAGTCTCGCTCATGTAGGCGTCGCATAGACTCGCTCATGTAGGCGCCGCGTAGTCCTGTTCGTGTGGAGGAATGGCTTTGAACGTAACGTTCCACAAACAAAATAATTTGGTCATTTTGAGACTAACCTGTGTTTACTCGTGCAGTATTTAAAGGGGAGTTTTGCCGGGGAAGGGTCTTTGCCGATTTTCGAAATTCAACATTTTCGGGTTCTTTTTCGATGACACGGACTAAACTGTGTTTTTTTGTATTACCCGAACAACTAGGCAGGCATTATTTGTTAACCTCACAGTCCCCCCGTCCACTAATACAATACTTCAGTCATTTTTGGACTAACACACGTCAATATTTCTTGCGAGGAAAGATTTTGTCAGCCTACTCTGCATCGAATTATCTTACATACACCTCAATTTATAGGCTACCATTGACAAGACATAGCAGCGCTTGAAAAATCCGGATAATAGTTCTTCACATCTAAGGTCGGAACTCAAACCAGGGGAATTCTAATCGAGCGGCTCAGTTCGGAACCCAAACCGGTGACATTCTAGACGAGTGGGTAAGGTCGGAACCCAAACCGGGGCCATTCTAGTCCAACTCCGATCGTTTAACTAACATGCCCTCCCGGAATCCCTGGCTAACGATGGAGACCCCGTGAACACAAGAAAAGGTAAAACAGATTGTCATAGAATACAGAACAAAATTCTCCGTTCCTTGAACAATCTTAACACAAATTCTGGACTATCAATCACTAATAAATTTAAAATTTAAACAATTAAAAAAATAAACAATTCAAAATTTAAACAGTTCAAAATTTTTTAAAAAGGAAATGGGGTTAAACATCCTACTGTTCTGCTCCGGCTGGGCTAATGAAAATGGGCACACGCCATACAGTGTGGTATGAAAGAAATTTTGTCCAGACAGAAAAAATTAAAATGAAATGAAATGAAATGGGGTTTTTCGCAGGCTCTACTACTGTTCTGCTCCGACAGGGTTAACGACGACTGCCAAGGGATCTGTAACATAATCCCACCCGAACGACTAGACAGCTGTCCTTGCCGGGCCCTCCGTCCTGCACCACTGACAAGGGGAAACCAGGTCGGAAAATTCCAATGAACTTTCTCGGCCAATGCGGGGATCGAACACGTGGAATTCAGACTAGTGAGTCAGCGTCTTACTCACTTAAGCCACCGTGACTCCAAAAATTTAAAAACAACAACAAACAAACAAATAAAACACAGAACAAGTTTGATTTATTTGTTATATTTTATTAACGTTATAAACATATTTTATGATTATTTCCACATTTACAAATCTTTGGTAACAAATTAATAACGGTTTCGTCGCTTACATGTAAAATAATGCGGGTGGGATGGGGAGATTTATTCACGAAATTTAGAAGGTCTCCGCGTGAAAAACACGATTAGTTATCACGTGACAATTTCAAATTTTCGTGAATAAGACCAGAGTTACAGATATTCCCTACGTTTTCATTCAGAGTAAATCGGACAAAATACGATATATCAAAACTCAAAATTGAATTTATATTTAGAAATTAAGATTTATCAAGGTCCATAATAATATACCCACCCATGGGAACTGATACATAAACAAAAATCTTATTTTAACGTTGACAGCCGAATATTGCTAATTTTCCCTTGAAAATTTATATTACATTATTATCATTTTTTTTTTTTATTTCCTTAATTTAACTGAGACATTTATTTTGTGATAAAGATGAATGCAACAAATTTTAGGAAGACAGAATAATGCATATTATGAATTTTTTACAATGTTTCTAAATGATATTTGACTAGTGTTTTAAATATATCATTTTAAAAAATAAATAAATTAATTAATTATTAGGCCAGACCAATTTGATTATTAGTTCTTTGGAATCTTGATCAACAAATAACACACTCAATTCTTGTGTGCGATGTTTTGTAAAATAAATTCAAAATTAAATATTTGCAACTAAAGGCTTTCGCGAATAGCAACTAAGATCTTTTTATACCTCCACATTCTTGTTTGCGATGTTTTGTTAAAATTTCATAAATGAAATATTTGGAACTACAAACTTTTGAGAAGAGCAAATCAGTTGTTTTTGAAGGAATTGGAGGAAGATTTTTTTTAATATGTGTCTCGGAGAAGCCAACTAATTCTTGTAACAACTATAACAGATGAACCAAGGATATTGGTTGGTTGTTCGCCAACATTGATTAACATATGGCTCCAATTCGGATTAATACACAGATCTTTTTTCGGTCTTTTTTTTCAAATTTTCTTTAATTTGACTTATAACAAATTTATCAAGTATTGCTATTGGTTTTTTTTTAAATCAACCAAGTCCCGAAAAACTTAATTGAAATTGGCGTGGCCTTATCTACAAATGTCGATCATATGAGCTGAAGTTAGTGTTATTTAAGTGACTAACAAAAAAATTATATTTTTCTCCAGTGTTATGGATATAGCATGTTAGACAATAAAGAACTTAATTAGTTAATAGTTGTTCATGTGAGCTTGAGTTGGTGTTATTTAAGAGTTAGCTTTTTTTTTCTAAATCACATTCAAATTTCTTTATACTTATTGCACCAACTGTGTAGATACATATTGATGCCAAGTTATAAATCAGCATGCCCTTTAATTTAAAATTATCACTGAAACGAATAAAGCCTTGATGCGTCGTTTTAATCTCTAATAGGAATATCGGTCAAACAATTTATTGTTCAATTCCGTTCAAATTATAATTATCACTTAAAGGATTAAAGTCTCGTTGCGTCATTTTAAACTCTAATAGGAATATCGCCCATCAGTATTTACAAAGTTATGTTACATTGAAATTTCATCGATCTATGTTGCTCACTATGTAATAATCCTGTCGCCATTTTGTTGTAAGCGAACGGAAATAACAGGACATTTTTATTAAATCCTATTGAATTCACACTGGGAGATTATCTAGCGTTGGTAAATGGTAAATGATCAATCTGAGCATATTAAGCCGCGAGGAACTTTTTAATAATTTAGCGAAAGTTGCAAATGACGCATCGTGATATTTTTGATTCTTTTTACAAAATAATTTATATACGGTGATATTCTTAAGCTTCGTCGTAGTACAATTATTAAAATATTAATTTATTTTTTCTGTAATTAACGGATTTACATAAAGCTACTTGTTTTGTAAAAGAATGTTTAAAATTTCTTTAGTCACTTATTGGTCAATTTATTCCATCAACCTGAAAAAAAATGGTTTGACCTGAGCGGGTTACCAAATTGTTAAATAATTTAAATTAAATTCCAGTTGTTCATACATTTAATCAAGATATTCATCATACTACATGTATAATACATAGTTATGGAAGAACAATGACTAATTTGGGACACCTTTCGAAAAATATAACTAAATAAATAGCTGTCTTCCATAAACATTGTTCTATCCAATTACTAAATATCCCTTAAAGATTATTAAAGATGCATTATGTAAGATTTAGATAAAGGGCTGGCCGATTTGCCATAATAGCTCAAAAATAGATAATGAAAAATGAATATATTAAAAATTTCAGTTAAATTACTCTTATTTGTGCGAAGTTATGAATATTTATATTTATATTCTTGGTAAAATGTGGGCTAGATTGTTTATTAGCAAAGATTTAGCTCTTAAATAATGCATCCTTAAATGAATATTAAAACAAGAGTGGGAGGATGGTGGGGGGGGGGGTAAATATCCTGGTATTGAAGACAACTGATAACATGTATATACTTTTTAATGTAAAAGTTAATGTTCATTTAATATGATATAAATAGTAACAGGTGACATACACGGGGCATGGTATTACCTCGTTCTAGAACACCGGATACCACACCTCGGTATTTAAGTTCAGACGGCTAACAATGAATGTTGTAGGCTTACTCATGTAACATAATGACTATTTTTGTAATTAATATATTTCAAATAAATGGCATTTTCGATCATGTTTCCTGATCGATTTTTCATAAAGGTTGTTTAAAAGATCGCTTAAAAATAGGTCTAACTTTATTTGACTATTGTCATACTTAACGATTAATTTGAAATACATCGACATGATTTCATGTGGATGTTTCATAAAGTTTATTCCAAATCTAAAAAAATAGGATAGATTTTCAATGAGTAACTCCTAAGAGTAGGAAATAAAATTTTACAGGAATTCCAAATAGATAACGTTTCACTGGTTATTCCAGAAATATAGGGCTGGGTTTTTTCCAAAATGATAAATCTAGATATCCTGGGTTATTCCAGAAAGTTGGGTCTAATTTTTCATCGGTTATTCCAAAATATAGCCCTAAATTTTCATCGATTATTTCAGAAAGATAGACCTAGATAGGCTTAACTTTTCATGGGGGTTTGGATGGCCGAATGGTTAGCACGCGCGCGCTGTATCATACGGTCTGTCATTGAGTCAACTGGCGGGGTTTCGATTCCCCGGTTGTACGTGACAAGGAGTAGGGTCGCCTGTCCAACCTCGTGGGTTTTCTCCGGGTCCTCCGGTTTCCTCCCACTGCTAAAGACACCTACGCGCAAGCGAATTATTGAAATAAATTAAACCATATGTTAGTCCCGAAATGACCTAGTTTGTGTCGAGTGGACGTTAAACCCCATTTCTCTCTCTCTCTCTCTTAACTTTTCATGGGTTATTCAAGAAGAATCGGTCTAATTTTAATGGGTTATTCAAAAATGGGTGAACATTTGTGAATCAGTTTATTTAGAGGATAATATATCCTCTTATCTATCAATCTGATTAAAACACAGCCTCCATTTCGTTTCGTTATTTAAAGTTCAAAATTTCGTATAAAATAACGAAACGAAATATCGATCTATATTTAAATTACGTTGCTTATCTATAAATAGCACTATTCGTTAACTAACACTAATTGTGAATTAAAACAACATTCTATAACTTCATATAAATATATATGTATATATGCACACAAGCTGATATATATACACGATATGAAAAAAAGTCATGTGACCATATTCGTCATTTATGACGTCATAAACACTTCACAGCTTTCGCTTTCTATTTGTAAGTCTCTTCGTTTGGCAAATAGTTCTATTTCTTTGGCTTTGGTTATATTAATGGGTTTTTTTTTAACTTGAATATAAAAATAACCGCAATATCGGACACATTAAACTACTACTCACTCGATTGTTGTGACGTTGTAATCAGTCAGCACTTTTGAACAAGAGCCCGTCCATTATATTCAATATGGCGGTCTAACTTGTTACAGTTGTTCGTATTGTCACGAGACATTTGGCGGGGCAGTCAAAGCTTGAGTGTCCAATATATTACTCTCCATCACACAGCTCCTTCATTGTGGACACGTTTCTTAGTTTGTACAGGTCCCTTGTTGAACACAATAGCTGTGGTGTTCGGTTTTAAGTTTCATTGTAGTTTAAACTAACTGACGAGATATGTGCACCACTCACGGCGACCTCCTCGGCCCTTTCTTCACGTTGTTTGACCGAAATAAGGGTAGTAGATTGGATGAGAGTTAGATGGATACTGAGCGTGGGCCCTTAATAAACCCAAAGGTCCTAATAAATTATGCCCCGGTAGATACGGGTGTAGTCCCTGTCCGTATAACATACTAGCCGAATAAGGTGAAGCGAACGCCAGACCCCCGGCGCTAGGTGGAATTGTGGGACTGTTGACGTCTAATCCCGGATTCTGTTTCTTCCATTTTGTTCTGCGGTTTTGAAACCAGATTTTAATCTGCGTCTCCGTGAGATTGAGCGATAATGCGAGATTTAAACGTTCACAAACCGAGAGGTACCTCGTGGTTTTAAATTTATTCTCAAGTGAGACTAATTGTTCGTAGGTAAATGCTGTTCGGGCTCGTCTTGGTTTTCCAGCCTTTCCAGAATCATGGCACCTATCACCCTTTTCATCGTCCTTTCCGTCATAATCATGAAGTCTACTGTCGCTATCATCCAGATCTTTATCGTCTAGTTCATTTCCGCTGTCGTTAATCGATATCGAGAGATCATCTGGACCCGGAGAACCTAAAAAAACAGAAAGAACAATTATAAACTTGTTTTCTTATTGAAATAATAATAAAAAATACTAAAGCAAAAATACTAAAGATTTGGTCATATTGGTCATCTATCCAACCTCATGGGTTTTCTTCCACTGCGAAAGATTCCAACAGAAAGTGCATAATAGAAATAAAATTTGAACCGTATGTTAGTCCCGAAATGACCAGTTTTGTGTTTGTGTCGCGTTGGCTTAAATTCAAGATTCAAAAGGTCCCCTAAGCTATGTGAGAGAATTAACTTCTTTGGTGACAACCCAGATAAAATACGAGCTAATTCCCAGCTAGTTGTTTAATACGGGAAGTCTACGCCAACAATTGAGTCAGTATTTTTAACAAATAACCGTTTAACAGGCGTTAAGTCAATCAGTCACTTATCGCTATCAACCAATGTTTGTTTTCACAAACTAAAAAAAAGAATGTTGATTTTGGACTTGTAGCAAAAGATTAAATTCCCCTCGAAAAAGAAATGAATTTTTAAATGAAATGGGGTTTAACGTCCTACTTTTCTGCACCGACTAATGAACACTACGCCATACAGTATTCTATGATGGATATTTTGCCCGGACAGCGGCGCTACGGTCTACTCTTATTTCGAATTCCAACGGTCAAGGGTTCTTTAACGTGCACTTCAATGTGTACACGGGTTAGCCATCGACAAAGATACTCTAAATGTATTATGAAAGGAGACTTAACAAAAGTGAAACTTCCATTCATAAAAAAAAAATTCGCTGATTAAAAAAATATATTTAATAAAATATTATATACAAAATGCCTAAAAATTCTAAATTAGAAGTATAAAATATGAAAAATTAAATGTTTTAGCCGAAATATCAACTTTCAAATCAAACGCAATCTTTTCAAATCAAACGTAACCTTTGTTTATTTATACGTTATTGTTAATACAAATTTATATACAAAATGCCTAAAAATTCAAACTTGGAGATACAAAATATGATAAATGCCATAATAGAAATTGTTCAAAGGTGTTTTGGATAAATTGAGGATATCCAGCCTTGTGAACGACATTCGTCTCAGTTTGAGCAATGATTTTAACTTGGATTACAGAAGTCAAAGGCTACTGGATAGGGTCGGCACTAGATGATTTAGTCTACGACAACATCTGTCGAAACGAACAAACATTAAAAACAAATGAAAATGAAAAATGAACGACTTTTTTTTTCCTATTTGTATATAAGTTCGAGTCTTTTTTTGCCTAGGTAAATATAAAAATGGCGACGACGCTGGATCAAAGTAATACTTGACTCAGGTTTTAAGGATTTTAATATAACATGTTTTTCTGTTTTTCTTTATTGTGTTATTGTGTTTTACTAAGAGTAATTGAGGGTATAATTTTGCCGAAAAAAATCTGGAGAGGTCAATACCGCTTACAAGTCACAGTCTCTTTTATACCGTTCGAAGTTTGTAAAGCACTTTATGAAGTCTCTTTCACCACGAGCTAATATTTTAGAGAAGAAAATCCAGTGTTTGTAAAAGATTAAAATCATACATAGGCCGTTAATAGCAAATCAAAGGGCATTATATCTCCCATTTTCTATCAATGCGGTCTTAAGTGTTTGCATTTAGTAGTTATTCTACGCCCAGCGTAGTTCTAATTGTCTCGTGCAAAGAGAAAATATACGTACACAAACTCCCAACAATACAAAAATTAAAAGTCTTTCAATTTGGCCATGAAACTGGCAAAGGAGTAAATATTTTGATACAAGCCGGCTACTGGTGGAAGGGCAAATGGTCCTTTTCAGAATGTCGAAAAAGGAATCCCGTTGAACAAGAAGCAAAGAGCTACGGATGACAAAGAAAGCCTGCGGGCGACAAGCTCTTTTCTAATTATTTCGTTTCGTTTCTATGTCCTATAATTGAAACGATTCCTCCTTTTTAGTTTTTCCTACCAAGAGAACCTTTTCGCTCTTGTTTCCTCAAGGAACGTATTATTCCTTCATTAAGCAATAAAGAATTAAAGAGTCGATTAAAAAAACGCAAAAGAAAAATACTCCGGGCCGAAAATTTCTTCAGCGCACATAAATTCTATTACTATTTCTTTTCGTTTGATTTCATCTGTAGCAGACGATCAATGGGGGCCATCTTGGATCAATAGTAAAACGTATTAGATAAATTTTGGAGTTGTGTGTTCGTGTTTATTCAATTTGTACTCGCAGATTTATCAAAGATTTTTGTTCCTGAGCAAACAGACAGACGCTGCAATGAACATCGATGAATTTTGTCTTAGAAAAACATTGCAGTATTTATGTGAGATATATTTCTTGTTTGTATATTAAAAAATGTAGGCGACTGCTGGGAGCATTTCGGGGATATTGCACGAATTTCTAACATAATTCATTTGAATTGCATTTTGTACATTCAACAATGATAAATGGCTTCGAGTTTGAAATTCAGGATATAAACCGGAAGTCATACGATAAATAGGCATGCGCACTTAATCATCGATCTCTTAAGGACCTTTTATGGTTATCAACACTCATCCTTAATAGAGTTTTCTTCTTTTCAAAATATTATTTTAGTAGATTTTATTTTGTACAACACTTTTTTCAATTGGAATTTAAAAAATGCATGGATACAGACATATGCAACTTCTCATTTGGGGATTTCACATAACTCACAAACCTCTTTAAAAAATGCTGTTGTATTTGATAGAATACGATAATCTGTTGCGGTGTATATTTATACAATATCCAAAAGCATGAAAACTATACTTCAAGAAAGAACAAATCTGTGTATGTTTGTAACTCGCTGTCTATATTTATATATAGCCCGTTTGGAGCTGAACATACCAAACTTAGACTCTCTGTCTACAATTAGACACTAAGCTAACTGACCGACATTTCTTAAGTTCTAAATTGACGATTTTAGTCGAAACCACTAAGTATATTTCGATAATTTTGTTAAGTATTTATTCGTCTTCCATTTAATAAAATTGAAATGGTTTAATTAATCTGTGTGTGTATGACAGATACGAAACGGGGTATAAACGTATGCAGAATGGGAGCTGACGTGCCATAATACCCCATCGATATGTATATTTATATTATGTCCACCATTGTTTATGGTAAATATAAAATTTAGCTACTGTATATTTTGGGAGAGAAACGTATAGGATTCTGCCCGTTCTTCAATCCGATTCAGTTTATTGACTAAACTATCTTTTAAAATACAAATTAAATCAAATGAAAATGGGTTTAACGTCCGACTGGTCTAATGAAGACGGTGTTTAAAACACATTGGTGTGATACCAAAATATTTGACCACAAAATAAAATTCTAATTTAAAGGAGGGGGGTGGATTGAGACCCTGTTGAGAGAATAATAAAACAGGTTAAAATGGGGTTTAACGTCCAACTGCCCTGCTCCAACTCTTCTAATGAAGAGGGTGTTTAAAGGGACAATAACACTCTTGCTGGCTTGAAAGCTCCAGAAAATAAATAATATCTCTATCTAAGTACTAGATGTTTAAGTGTCCTACCTGCTGTGTAAATTATCCATTACATTATATTTTACTTGTCCAGAGGGTTCGAAAATATTTTTAAATCGAAGTTTCATTTGAAAATGAAATGAAATGAAATGGAGTTTAACGTCCTACTGTTCTGCTCCTAACCTGGGCTAATGAAGACGGGCATACGCCATACAGTGTGCTATGAGGGAAATTTTGCCCGGACAGCGGCACTACGGCCTACTCTTATATCGAATTCCAACTGCCAGGGGATCTTTTACGTGCACGCCAATGTGTACTTCATTTGAAAAGGTTTACGTTAGACATTTCAAACCATTATGTTGAATTTTTCAAAATTTTTAAATAAGGTGTGTTAAGATGAAATTTGTATCATCAATTGATTGAAATGTTCTAAAATAGTACAATTTGTTGACCAGAATAAAGATTGGGACATATTATTCAGTTACAACAAGAGTGGTATTGAGCCTTTAAAACACATCGGCGTGATACCAAAATATTTGACCACAAAATAAAATTCTAATTTAAAGGATGAGCGTGGATTGAGACCTTGTTGAGAGAATAATAAAACAGGTTAAAATGAATGTTGATGTATTATTGGGAGGATAAAGGTCTAGGATTGAAATACGATCTAAGTTAAACATCCCGAATTTGACAGTTTTCACTTTAATAAGTCGTCTCACGGCTCGTGCCTTAAGGCCCACGTTGCAATTAGTTTGATCTCAGTTTACTGCCCGGGGTTTGGGTGCCTCGTGTGTAAATAATCTTCTAATTTCTGCAAATTTCAAAGTAAAGAATATTGTTTAACTATACATTAACGATGAAACTTATCCCGTTAGCCTGGAAGGTGAATAGTCATAGGATGTGTTTAAAACTGTATTTAAATATGTTATGTAAAGTTATCTCGTGCATGAAGTTCGTTTGTTCACGTGATTGGAACATTTATAACATCTGTAGTTCATACTCGAGGTAAAGAGAGAGAGAGAGAGAGAGAGAGAGAGAGATGGGGTTTAACGTCCACTCGACACAAACTAGGTCATTTCGGGACTATCACATGGTTCAATTTTATTTCAATAATTCGTTTGCGCGTAGGCGTCTTTATCAGTGGGAGGAAACCGGAGGACCTGGAGAAAACCCACGAGGTTGGACAGGCGACTCGAGGTAAAAAAATTACTGGGCTAAATAAATCCAATGGGGTTTAACGTCCTACTTTTCTGTAAACGTCATACAGTGTGCTGTGAGGGAAATGTTGCCCAGACAACAGCGCTACGGCCTACTCTTATATCGAATTCCAACTGTCAAGGGTTCTTTTACGTACACGCCACTTAAATTGCTTTTAACATGAGTAAATCATATCTGTAGATTTAAATTAAAATTTATATATTCCATTAAGGGTTCATTTACGTGCACGTCACTAAAATCGCTTCTAACATGTCATAAATTGTGAACAATCATAAATCTTGTTTATTTAATTGACCCAATTCCAATCGTAATGGCCTTGATAATACAGGTCTTTTAATATTCGCGGCCTAATATTGAGAACTCTTAAAGCAAACGTCTGTTACATGTGCAAACTTAGAACTAATAATTGTGCTACATTTCCATAATCTGTGAAAAAAAAATATTGTGGTTTTCTTTTTTGTTATCTTATAAATCTATCAAAAAAAGACGATCTACAGTTCTTCGTATTGAAATGATATTTGGGCAGTTTATTTATATGAAGTCTTCATATTAGAACATAGTGTACCACGTGCTGGGACCATTTACACATACAGCATATATAATAACCTCTACAGCAGAAAATATGTTTTTATCATTTTATAAATTTCAACAGATGATTTGTAAGTGAAATGCAGTTTATGATAGAGGCGAAAAATATAAATCTAAATTCAGGACTCAAAAATAAACCGACACGACATATGTAGCAAACATCATGGTATGATGTAAATTACGAATTTTTCTAAAAGAAAACGAAATTATATCTTGAATGTATAAAAAGCTGACGACAAGGCGTTGAAATTACATGACCCTGTAGAGTGTTGTTTATGAGTTGCGAATGAATATTTCACTCAAGTGCTAAGTAGGACTAAAGTTAAAAAAAATTTTCAGGCAATTCTCTTGGGTAATATTAAGATTTTCTTAACCTGATAGAATTTCTTGAGAATTTTTGGGTTCTTTTTTTTATATTTATATTTTTTTTTTTGTGAGAGAGTGTTGAAATAAAATTGTACAGTAATATAAAATATATAAAAAAAACCTCATAAAGATATTGGCCTATACTTGATTCTTGCAATGGGCCATCTTTAATTCACATAATCAAATATCGGATGTCAAAATTGATTTATTAATGGAGATATAATAATAAGAGAAGTTGCAGAAAACAACACAATATGTTTGCGAACATGGGTCTATTTTTTAGTACGAGACCAGAAGTGGTATCAGGTCGTCTAGAACAAATAAGAATCACAATTAAAATAAATTTTAAAAAGAAACAGCCCGAAATGTGTTTGTTAATAAAAGCCTATTTTTAGAATGTGAACAAGTAATGACACAATGTGTTCTTGAAAGAATAAGTATCACCTTAAACATACATTAAAATATTTGTGAATATGAGTCTATTTTTAGTATACAAATAAGAAGTGACACCAGATGTTCTTGAGTGTGTGTGATTTTAAGAATAAACACTATCTCGATATATTTGAATACAAGTGTATTTTTAGAATCAGGGTGTCATATTATGATATTCAATGTTTTTATCCGTGGTTAACCTACATAAGTATAGTATATTATAATATATAACGATTTGTGTACACACGCAAATTTGATGCAGGTTATTTTGGGTTTTTTTTAAATGAACACAATATTTTATTTATGAATGGCATTGGGCGATTGGGCACAATAAAATAACACAAAACAGTGTTTGAAATGAAAGGGAGTTTTACGTCCTACTGTTCTGCACCGACTGGGCTAATGAAGACAGTAACACAATTTATATTAAAAAAACAATCACCGGTTTGTACACATATAGCACGACGTTTCAACATCACGATACAATATTTAGAGAAGATATATTAAAAACAAACACATAGGTAAGATGTAGGTAATTTTAAAATGATCAAAATTTTGGTAAAGGTGTATTGAAAAGCTATGCTGTTGATAAAATTTGAAGTCACAAATTTAATGAAGATTTTGTTAAAATGACTATATAATATAGGTAAATCTACCATGAACACGGTATTGGTGTAGGTATATTGAGCTGCAGGTAATTTTAAAATAAATACAATGTTTACCAATGATAGTATCCTATAGTATTTGCTATATAACTCATGAAATAGCATAATACGATATACAATATTATTTACGGGCATATTTTACGACGTCATCACATTTAGGGCGTTTCGTCAGAAACACCATTTGAATTAATGACGTCAACACATGTTTTGGTTTTTTGTTTTGTTTGATTTTTTGTTTGTTATTTTTATTATTATTATACATGTTGTTTTTTTATATAGAAGCGATGCTTGGAGTGAGAGGGGGTCTATGTAATCGGAATAATTGTTTGTTATCAATCAGTCTTTTATCATTCTAAAACATATATTATATACATGTATTTATATTAATTGAGAATTTCTACAAAAATTAAACTGTGAAGCTTTTTAAGACCCAATAAGTTTGTAATATATTATGTTTTAACGTCATGTTTCAACGGCTGTGGTTGACTTTTTATTAATAAATAATATGTTTTCACTGCATGCCAAAACTGCTGTGGTTTTTATTTTTTTTTTATTATTAATGAATAATAGTACATTATTATATCATGTTAATACATAAACATTATTATTTCCCCTTAAAGTATGTAGTTATTTTTGTTGTGGATTTATCACACGCGAAATGCTTTAATTTTCCGCTACATTTACCAAATTCCAATTTTGACAAGTCTTATTTCAAGACACAGAAGCCAATTTGGTCTCATATTGTTACTTTCTTGAATGCAGGGAGTTTTACGTCATATTGAGATTTATTTTTAAAACCACTGCTGTGTTTTGTTTTTTAAATTTCTAATATCAAATCGTTTTCCTTTTTTTTTATATTCGCATTATTTTCCTTTTTTTATATATATTCGCAGTATTTTCTCTTTTCTTCACATCCAAAACTTAATATATTCAAACGTAGAATTTCGGTCTACCGTTCATCTCGATACAAATTTAAAAAGTAAGCACAATATATTCTCAACAGTAATCCAATGAACGAATTCGTTAATCATTTCAATAAAATTATCCGCGGGAAACTATCCTTCTAGCGCCCTTATTATTATGGAAAACAATTATATACGATTTCTATTAATACTCCTTCTATAAATTGAAAAATAGTAGGACGCTAAACCCCATTTCATTTCCTTTCCTTTTACAAATATCAGTCATTTCTTACAAGTGCCTTTTACAACTGCTACTGAATTTCACTTCCGTATGTTAGCTTGTTCGAACAGCTTTAGATATTAACATAACATTACAAATATTATACGCGGTCTTCAATAAACCCACATAAAAATATTAGTCATTTCTTCCCAGTGCCTTATACAAATGATACTTAAAATATCTTCCGTCGCGTCGATTACCCCGTTCCCAGCCGGTGCAAAAAAACTAGGACGTTAAACCCCATTTTATAAGCTTGTTCGAATAAATTTAGATATTAATGCTATAACACATAGTTAATAACCGTAATCATTCATTTCAATAAACCAAGTACTCGGACAATAAAAGAATTGCGAGAAAATAAAAAAAAACTCTATTTGGGTAGGATATTTAGTATTTTTTATTGATAGCTATTTGGGTCGGATATTTGGTATTTTTCATTGATAGCTTTTTTTTTTAAAAAAAAAACATTAAAAAAACCTATGTACATTAAAAATCAATCGATGAATTAAAAACCCATTGGTAAATTAAAAATCATCGCTACATTTAAAACCACTTTCGATAAATTAAACACCCTCAGTACATTAAACAAATCCATCGATAAATTCAACCCCCCTCAATAAATTAAAAACACACAGCTACATTTAAAAATACTCTCGATAAATTAAAGCCCCTCGGTAAATTAAAAAAAACGTCAATAAATTAAAAATCATCGCTACATTTAAAAACAAACCTCGATAAATTAAAATGCCTCGGTACATTAAAAAAATCCATCGATAAATTCACCCCCCCCCCCCTCAATAAATTAAAAACACATAGCTACATTTAAAAACACTCGGTACATTAAAAAAAATCCATCGATAAATTAAAAACACCTCAATGAATTAAAAACACATCGGTACATTAAAAAACATTCGGTACATTAGCTCGATTTTACAGAGTGTAGATGTGTATATTGATAAACATCAATTAACGGCCAATAAGTCAACGGTGAATAACTACAGATTCTATGATAAACTTGAGGAATTTATATAAATGAACGTTCAATTAATGTTCAAATGTAGTCATTAATGATGAATATGATAAACTACTAAAATTCGTTCTGGTTCATTAAGTTAATAGTATGCATTATCATAAAATATATTTTGAGGGGACTATTAAAAGGATTGTCAAAAATTGTAGATTTAAATGTTTGTATGAATTTGACATCCGATTTATTTTTAAACAACAATGAAATCACATTTGGACGCACAAGAAATTATCAATTCAAGATATTACTGATTTTAAAACGAGTATTACCCCACCCCACCCTCTCATCGACAAAAATTTAGAAAGATAACAAAACAAATGACAGCGTTATTCAGAGAGAGAGAGAGAGAGATAGAGAGAGAGAGAGAGACAGAGAGAGAGATGTTTTATAAATTTATAAAATAGTCTAAGTTTTAAAATTATGCATACCTAAACTATGTGTTGTGTCGTCTGCTTGTGACGGATCTGAGGAATTGTCGTCTGCCCACGGGTGCCATACACGTGGTTTTCCCGTACCGGTGAATTTCGCCGGATCTAAAATATCCGCTACCTTGAATGACGTTGGTTGTAATTTCGGCGGGGGAGTTTCCTCTCTTCGTGGACTGTGTGGGGAGGGTACACAATGTTCTCCCTCACTCCCCGATCCTTCTTCCCTGGGACTCGAAGTCAACCTTCGTCTGAAATCCTCACGATCACTGTCGTCATCATCGGAGTCTATGAACATGTGATTGTTAAGATCCGATCTGGGACTAACCGGGCTACGGTTAGCCGCCCTCTGTCGATCCATGGACAGATTCATTGTCTGCTGTTTAAAGTTATAAAACACCACCAGTAAATATATCACTCACACACACTCAGCTAATTTTCTAAGTACTGTTACGCAGACGCGAAGCTCGAATAAACACCGCTGCACCTTACGCTATACAAGTTTAATGTGATTCCACGAACAAGTGCTTTCAGACGATACTAGTTAGTGCGCATGCGTAAAGCCCTCCCACTGACTCCTGTTTGACAGCGATGAGGCGTGGAGATAGAACCGACTCGTTATTGCCATCTCTCAACGTTCCTAATTGGCTCTTGGTTTAATTGATAGCATTAGCCACAGAATTCGACCATTATTGAACTGTCAATGCGTAATAATCTCTTCTTGAGCCGACAAAGATGGCTAAATTAATAGAATCAGGCGCAATCACTCTTAACCGTAAACCTAACGCTATAAACCGAGAAATCGCTTTCTGTCGCGCGCTCGAAAAGGAGGCGTGGCGCGCGGTTAAGCTTCATCCGTTATAGACCAGTCTGACATTTCAGTAAAAAAAGAAACATATTAAAATTATTCAGTATTTAAATTTTTTTATTTTAACGTGTATGAAACACGATAATTTTTGTTTCTTTTCAATATTCGTTTCGTTAAAAAACAAAAAAAAACCCACAACAAATCTGTTTTATAGTTAGTGAAACTATGATAAAGAGAGAAAGAGTTGGTGAAATTTGTTTTTTTATTGGTGGCAATTTGAGTTTTAAAATTCCTGTAAACATTTTGTTTTTGTAGAATCAATCCCGATGAGACTCCTGATGTGTAATTAAGATGCAGGGCAAATTATAGCCGGCCAAAGGGGGATGAAACGAAATTTCAATCTTTTGAAATTCCCCTCTCGGGATGTCGAATGCTGGAAATAACACGTGTACAAACGCTGTAAATTTTCATACGGTGTTATGCCGCATGGTAAAATGTATTTTAATGTTTTAAGTATGGTTTGTTTAGACGCCATCGTGCCACCATGCTGATTGCAACCTAACCGTAAAGAAAAGATTACGTTTGCAAGTAGCTAATAATTACGGTTGCGCAAAATATGTTTTTAGCAGATGAATAATTAGCCATGAGTGTCAAACTACTTCCGCGAAGATTTTTTTTTTAAGAAAAAGAGAATTTGTTGAGTAGAAATTACGAGGGGTTTCAATTTAACAAACATTCGTCTTAAAGCGTATAAATAATCCACCATCTTTAGTTTCGTATAAAATACATTCTCTCTTTGACCTAGGCATAAGATAAATTCTGAACACCAGAGGAAACATTTTCTGTAAATTAACTAATGATGTAACACTGCAAGATACATTGATAATCGAATTTTCTGTGTGTGCCGCTCGTCTTAAATTAAATGAAATGCGGTTTAACGTCCTACTTTTCTGTTTGTGTTTAAAGTCCTAGTATTCTTAAATGAAACGAAACGGGATTTAGCGTCCTACTTTTCTGTTAAAGTACCGGTATGAAATGGGGTTTAACGTCCTACTTTTCCGTTCGTGTTTAAAGTTCCGGTATTCTTTAATGAAACGAAATGGGGTTTAACGTACTACTTTTCAGTTCGTGTTTAAAGTTCCGGTATACTTAAATGAAATAGTGTTTCACGTCATACTTTTCCGTTTGTGTTTAAAGTCCTGGTATTCTTTAATGAAAAGAAATGGGGTTTAACGTCCTACTTTTCAGTGGTCCCGAAATGACCTAGTTTGTGTCGAGTGGACGTTAAACCCCATTTCTCTCTCTCCTACTTTTCTGTTCGTGTTTAAAGTCCCGGTAGTCCTAAATTGAATGAAATAGGGTTTAACGTCCTACTTTTCTGTTCGTGTTTAAAGTCCCGGTATGAAATGAAATTATTATTATTATTATTGAAAAATTTATAAAGCGCATAGCTTCCACTGTTAAGTGGCCATATACGCTGTACATAATTAAAAGATACATAAATAGAAAAATACATATAAATAAAAGGGTTACAGAAAAAGATTTAGACAAATAGGCAGCAATGTAAAATAACGACAAGTATAAAATGACAAGATAAAACATACAGAATCCATTTAAGTAAAACACAGGTTAAAGAATAAGAACATATTATATAAAAGTAACATTTAAAACATTTATATAATTGGGGTTTAACGTCCTATTTTTCTACATACACTGCTTATCATAATACTAAAATGTCCCCATCCTTATTTATATTAATGAAATGAAATGAAATGGGGTTTTACGTCCTACTGTTCTGTACTCCGGCGGGGCTAATGAAGACGAGCATACGCCATACAGTGTGCTATGAGGGAAATTGTGCCGCGGCGGCGGCACTACGGCTCACTCTTGTATCGAATCCCAACTGTCAAGGGTTATTTTACATGCACGCTAATGTGTACAATTGACCTCGGTTTTCGTCCCATCCGAACGACTATAATATAGATCAAATCAAGCAAACGGATTAGGTAATATTGACGATGAAGAGATTGATGTCTGAAGCCAGTGTTTATGGAAGAAATGTTAAATTGAAAACAAAAATATTCTTGCTATCCTGCCATTCACAAATCCAATACTTCATCTATTGATATTTTCTATGCCAAGATTAATGTGCAAATCCATCCTTTGTTCTTCTTGTTAGTCCCCCCCCCCCCCCCCCCACAACTACTGAAAGGAATATCAAACTGAAAAAGAATAAGAGTCTATTCTAGATACTTTGCTAATCACACATTCACACATTCACAACTTAGCCAATGCTTATTAATATTTTTTGAGGGGGGTTAGATGGCCGAATGGTTAGCACGTGCGCGCTGTATCATAAGGCCTGTCATTGAGTCAACTGGCGTGGTTTCGAATCCCCGGTTGTACGTGACAAGGAATAGGGTCGCCTGTTCAACCTCGTGGGTTTTCCTCCAGGTCCTCCGGTTTCCTCCCACTGCTAAAGACCCCTACGCGCAAGCGAATTATTGAAATAAAAAAATTTAAACCATACGTTAGTCCCGAGTGGACGTTAAACCCCATTCCCCCCCTCTCTCTCTCTCTCTCTCTCTCTCGCTATTCTTACCGCTTCGAGATTGGGCATGAGACAGAGAGAGGGGGGGGGGTAGACACACTGAGAGGGAGACCGTGGTAAAGTCAGTCTGTTCACCACAAACTAGGCGATTTCAGCGATTGTGAAGCTGACTACCGAAATGATGTTAAAGGAAAGCATTATCTCTGAGATAAAGATGAAGAGGAAGCTTTGTAGTGAAAGAACACTTATTACAGACGAGTTATATCATATTGTCTACTTCATGATAACAATAATTTAATAAGTAGATCAGGTAGCTAAGCTACTTCAAATTCAAATAGTTCTTCAAATTCAACTTAAAATTCTTACCGATTCGAGATTGGGCACAAGAGAAAAAGAGAGAGAGTGGGGGGGGGTGAAGTTAGACAGGCGACCATACTTTTTGTTATGTACTCGATTGTGAGCGAAACCACGCCACTCCACTTAAATTAAAGTTACAATTTCATATTTTTAAGTTATATTTTTAAAATGTATTAAAATAAAGCCCTAAAATAGATGGTATCTATAAACAGTCCTACCTTGTTAAAGATTAATACTATTAATCCTATAATATTCACTATTGCCAGTTGTGAAATTGGCAAAAATATCATTTTCAACTTCAAATTCAAACGTTTGAAGATATGAAAACAAGGGAGGTAATTGGGGGGCAATTGTGTTATTATTTCCGGTGTGAAGATTTTTGAGCGTGAGAAAGATAACCTATGATCGTATAATAGTGAGTTGACAACCTATTGAGCAAAAGACAGAAATAATTATGTTTTGACTTTCTTAGAAAATATGAAATTGTATAAACCTTATAATCCAAAACCCACGCTGTACGTTGCTGATTTATGTGAAAAATGTAAAAAAAAAATGAAAGACAATATCCCACTCTAACAAAAATGATATTAAATTTGTCGAAATATCAAATCTCGCTTCGTTACACTTCACGTATTAGTCGAGTAGAAAAGATAAGTATGTATTGAGGGTTATAATATGTGTATATTTTGACACGTGCACGTTGGCGGGATTTTATCCAGCTTCCTACTGTTTTTACTTGTTTGTTTATAGCTGATACCTGCCATTCTTATACTGGTTGATCAATATTTAGATTGGGTTATCACGCCCCTCGGCTCGTGTAGACCTGCTGTGTTGCCAGGGCTGATAATGAATTCGTGTATTTAGATAGAGATCGACAAATTATTTGATTGTTCCGTTTATTATTGTCTTCGACAGATAATCAGAACCTTCTTCTCAAATTTTACTCAAATGTGAGACAGGAAAAGAAATGAAAAGAAATGAAATGAAATGGGTTTTAACACCTCTACAGTTCTGTACCAAGTGAGCTAGTGAAGACGGGCATAGCCATACAGTGTGCTATGAGTTAGATTTTGCCCGGATAGCGGCACTACGGCATACTTTTATATCGAATTCCAACAGTTAAGGGTTCTCACCATGCATCACTTACCGGGGAACCACACCTGAAAATTCAGATGAACTTTCTCGGTTAACACAGGGATCGAACATGCGACCTCCAGGTTAGCGAGCCAACGTCTTACGCACTGGGCCACCGTGGCTCCCATGCGAGGCAGGCAAATGGTAACAAATGGAATGAAATTACTTTCGATGTCAGGTCGGACTCAACAGTTCAACTCCTACTTAACCCTCCACAAAAAGATCAAATGTATTAATCAAAATTTTTCATGCGCCCAATGCGACGACATTTCCAGTTTGATTAGAGGACGGTAAATATTACTTGCAGAGTCAATAAAATGAGGTCTGATGTATCGGCACGAATCATGACCATTGAAGGCGGGCATACAACATTCAGTGGACATACGGGAATTTTGATTACGTCAACAACGGCAAATTGGAGTACTCTTAGTCGATTTGGCAGTGGCATACATGTATCCTTGGTGTTTCAACCTACACCTCTAGGAAACCAACCAGGGGAATCCCGAAGAACATTCTCGGCTAACATCGGGATCGAATCGGGGAACTTATGGTTCGTGGGACACAGTGTTTCATCACTTTCATATTAACAAATACCATTGTAGGGTGTGTTGAGGTGTGGGGGGGGGAGCGGGGGGGGGG